CTTGGCTGGGTCTCCCTGCCCTGGGATGCATGAGGGTGGAGGGGACTCTCTGCTGCTGCCCGGGTTGACGTCCTTCTTCTCCTTCCAGCCCAGAGCTGTCAGCTGTGGATGCTGGCGCTCACCCATTGCAACACCCACGCCCTGCTCGACTACTCCGTCACTGCCGACCCCCGCATGCTGCTGGCCGTGCAGAGGCACCTGGCTGCCTTGCAGGATGAGAACGGAGACACGTGAGTGTGCAGAGCTGCGGGCTCAAGGACGGGCAGGGCGGGAGAGAGCTTGAGCCCTGCGGGCCCTGTCAGAGCCCTGCTCCATGGGGCAGAGACAGCRGTGCAGGGGATGTGTGGGGTGAGGCGTCCATGCCCATGGGGAGGATGTAAAGAGACATGGAGCTGAGATAGTGCCTCTCTCCTCTCTTTTCCCAGGCCTTTGCACCTTGCTATTATCCACGAGCAGACAGCTGTGATCAAGCAGCTGATTGAGGTGGTGGTTAGCATCCCCAACCAGCAGATCATCAATGTCACCAACAACCTGCAGCAGGTACAGTTCTCCCAGGGCAACCCATTGCCATGGAGAAGGACTGGAGGGACTGTCCTCGACCTGGACTCGCTCCCATTTCCATGTCCTGGGTGGAGGTGGGATCTCCTGCTTTTAGGCCCTGTGTGAAAGCCATAGGGAGAGAGCAGCAATGAGTGTGCTGGGTCAGTGGTGGCAAAGAGAAGGGTGGTGTGGGACTCAGCTTCTCCTGCAAGCGCTCATGCTGGTGGCCTTTCTGTCCTGCAGACACCACTGCACCTGGCAGTCATCACCAAGCAGACCCAGGTGGTCCAGCTCCTGCTGCAAGCTCGTGCTGACCCCACCTTGCTGGACCGCTATGGCAATTCCCTGCTGCACCTGGCACTTCAGGCTGGCGACGAAGAGATGCTGAGGACACTGCTGGCCCATCTGGGCTCGGCCACTCCTTACCTGCTCCGTCTGCCTAATTTCCACGGTGAGCAAAGCTGGGASGAAAGCCCTGAGGGGCAGGGACCTGGCACGGTGGGGAATGCTGCTATTGAGGCCTTGGCTGGAGGCCACTGAGCCTCTCTCTGTGTATTGCAGGCCTCCTACCTGTGCACCTGGCCGTGAAAGCAAAGAGTTTGGCCTGTCTGGACCTGCTGGTCAGGAAGGGAGCGGACGTCAATGCTGTAGAGAGGCAGGGTGGAAGGACCGCGCTGCACCTGGCCGTGGAGATGGAGAACCTGAACATGGCCACCCACCTCGTGAAGAAGGTATGGGAGGTCCGGCCTCCTTTCTCCGGGGTTGGTGGCTGTGAGTGAGGATGTGGCAAGAGCGAGCCCTGGGGAGGTCCCCCGTGCGCAGGGCTGGTGGGGGCTCTGGTTTAGGGGCTGGGGAGTGTTAAGGAGTGGGGGGCAGCGCCAAGGTAGCTCGCCGTCACGGCCTCGTGCGCTTCCTCGCAGCTGGGCGCAGACGTGAACAGCCGGACCTTTGCTGGGAACACCCCCCTGCACCTGGCTGCGGGGCTGGGCTCCCCCACGCTCACCAAGCTGCTCCTCAAGGCGGGTAAGTGCTGCCCTGCGTCCCCAAAGGGTCCCTGCTGCCCTGGTTGAGTCCTGGCCCTCCCGGCGCCGAGAGCAGGGCCCCGGCCTTGCCCGTCCCGCTGGTGCGTGTCRCAGGGCTGCGGTCTGCACGTGCCGTGCGGCGCTTGCCGGGCGTCCTGGGAGCCCCCTGGCCGGGCTCACGGCCCTTGGCAGGCGGGTGCAGCCCCACGTGCCCCTCGGCGGGCTCAGCGCACCCTTCCCCGCAGGGGCGGACGTGTCGTGCGAGAATGACGAGCCTGTGAGCCCGTCGTCGTCGGAAGCGAGCAGCGACACGGATGCCGATGCCGAGGAGCAGGAAGTGGCCATGGAGCTGGAGGAGGCGACCCCCGGCACGGAGCACAGCTCGGACTCCGAGCCCGATGCGGAGCAGGCRTGTGGGGAGGCGAGACCCCCGCAGCGCCGGTGCCACACGCCCCTGGACCTCACTCGGAGCCAGAAGGTGCGGGCCAAGGTGGCAGCGTGCATGGGGAGGGTCAGGCTGCGGCACGTACAGAGCACGGTGCTCCGGGAGGGCCTCTTGCAAGAAGGGCTGGGGACAGACCAGCCTTGTGCTGCGCTGGGGGCTGCAGCCAGCCTGGGCCAGGCTTATCTCCTGTGGCAGGGCCGTGGCACAAGGGCTGTGTGTGGTGGTGGCCGGGGCTGCCCTGCCAGCAGGCTGCTGCTGCAGCCACGCTGGGGTCCTGCACTGGGGAAGCTCACGTGTGTGTCTTGCAGGTGCGGGAGATCCTGCTGCAGGCCTCGCAGCGGAGCCCCGAGGGTGAGCTGCCTGCCCCACCCCAGCCAGGTGAGCCCTCGGTGGGCACGGGGGCTGTGCCAAGACAAGGCAGACCCACTCCTGCCAGCAGGTGCCCGGGCAGCTTGTGAGGAGGTGCCTTTCCCCTGCAGGGAACATCCTGTCCCTCGACAGTGAAATGCTGCAGGACTTGGAGCAGCTGTTGAACCAGGACTGCAGTGGTTCGGACTGGACCGAACTGGCCAAGAGATTGGGCTTGTGCAGCTTGGTGGAGACCTACAAGGACACGGCTTCGCCCAGCATCAGCCTCCTGCGCAGCTACGAGGTCAGTGCCTTCCCCGGGGCAGCCCTGGCCCCATGCCCCGCCGCCAGCCCCGCTCACGGCCCGTTCTCTCCCCAGCTTGCGGGCGGCAGCCTCGGCGGGCTGCTCGAGGCGCTCGACTCCATGGGGCTGCGCAAGGTGGTGAGGACGCTGCGCAAAACGGAGACGCTGGAGAAGCTGCAAAGCACAGGTATGGGGTGGGAATGGGGCGCGGGGGGCCCTGCTGTGCCACCCCCTCGCCCTGCTGACAGCCCCCGTGCTCCCTTTGCAGAGCTCAAGGAGGACAGCGCCTACGGGAGCCAGTCGGTGGAGGAGGAGCAGGCGCCGGCGCTGCCGCCGGGCCCGGCGCCCGCGCTGCCGCACAGYCAGCAGCCCCAGGTGCACTGAGCCGCCCCGGCCCCTCCGCACGTGCCTGCCCGACTCGGGGCCCTCCCGGACTGTGGGGAAAGGCTGCAGCCCGCAGGGCTGCTGCTGCCCGGGCCTCTGGCCCCACTCTGCTCTTATTTAATGGTCCCTCTTCTGGTGAATAAAGGGGGACGGTTCCCATTAACCTTGACCGCCCGTTGTCTCCAGCCTCTGCCTTGATGGGCCGAGGCTTGTGGCAGGGTACTAATCAGGTAGGAAAAACCAGTGCCTTAGTTCCCTCTGGTGCATCAGGCCCTGTTCTCCATCGAGATGGGACTGTCACTGTCCCCTCCTCAGCACCCCGTGGTGCCTGCAGTGACAGCTTGGGCCAGGACTGTGCTCAGCCCACAAGCKCTTCTGGGGCAGGGGCAGGGAAAAGCCACGGCTGACACAAGAGCTGAAGAGCAAGTTTTTACTTCAGTAACTGACAGAAGAAGCTGTACAAAGATTTTTCTCCCTTCCCCGAGCCACCTGGGGAAAGGGTGATTGTTTTTTTTCTCTCTTTTTTTTTTTTTTTTTTGCAATAGACTCAGAAGAGCAGAATAAAAAGTTTGACACATTCGCAAAGTCAGTGCTGAACCCAGCCGAGTCCCCGGCGGCCGAGAACAGCGCGTTTCCAGCCCCCCCCTCCCCAGCCCTTCTGCCGTTCCCGGTGCCCGGACCCCTCCGCTCGCCCGCCCCGTGCTCCTGYTGCTCGAGCAGCAGCTGCAGGAGGGCGGCCCGGCGCCTGCGGGAGCAGCAGCCCTGCTGCCCGGAGCCAGGGTGCTGCATGGGTGCCTCCTGCTAATCCCTGGACACGGAGCCTGTGGCCTCTGGCTGCTGCTCAGCCTCCTGCAGCCCCTGGATTTGGCGCCACGCACGCTTGGCCGTGCTGGGGCTACGTGGGGCTGCAGCAGCAGTGCCCAAAGCAGGAGAGGCGGCCCAGGCTCACTAGCCCCAACAAGTAAGTGTCCCTTCCTCGCAGCCTGAGCACTGGCTCTGTGCACCCCTGTGACATGCGAGCACCCCGGTGGGCAGGCAATGGGCGCTGTGCCCGCTGCCCCACATGTGGGAGCCGCTGTGCCCACGGCTGGCGCCAGGCCCTGCGCTCCCTGCGGGTCCCGCGTCGCTGCGGGTCGCTGCTGGTGGCAGGAGGAGCTGGGCGGGCGCAGGCCGGCGGGGTGCAGCAGGGCGAGCAGGGCAGGCGCCCTCGGCCCGGCGTCCATGTAAAAACCACCCCCAGTGCAGTGTCTACAGGCAATGGCTGGGGCTCTTGTGTTATTTTTTGCAGTTCCCCAAGAAGCATCAAAATTACCCCCCACCCTCCCCCACGCAAAACTCCGTGGTGGTCAGCTCGAGCTGGTACTAAAAAGTGCAAAACTGTATCACAAAAACTGTTCAAAAGTTGTAAGAAAGCAGGTGGGGGAGCGGCTGGGGCAGCAGGAAGGGGGCCAGGCCCCTGTGGCCCTGGCACCTCCGGCCACCAGCCTGTGGGAAAGGGGACAAGGACAGGGCTGGCCCTGATGGACCACAGCACCCTGGCCCAGTTGTCCTGCCCCACTTGGATCTGTCCCACGTGGCACAGCGGAGCTGAGCTGCAGGCAAGCAGCTCCTGGCTTTTTCACACTAAAGAATTTAGCCCAGTCGGTGGGTTGGGGATATTTCTCCCCCCACAGAAGGGAGGGAGGGAACGAGGGGCCCACAGGCAAGCGCAGTTCAACGGGGGGAGAGGGTGTAAGTCTGGTGGAGGCGACCCTAGGGGCAGCTCCACAGGCAAGGACCAAGCAGGGTCCGGCTCTGCATCCACCTCCAGCAGAGGGGCCTGGAGGGGCCGCAGCCCCCATGGCGGGGCTGGCAGCTGGGYGAGGGCTCTGCTGCCCTGCGGCGCGTGCCCAGCAAGGATGGACTCATGCAGGCTCCGAGCGGGCACGCGGCCTCCACCCCAGCACCTGGCGGCAGGGCCGGAGCTGCAGCGCGGGCGGCCGATGTCCCTCGCTTACGATTTGTGGGGCGGCCCGGGGGGCTGGCGGCTGGYGCGCTCCGACACGTTGCGCTTGACCTTGCTGCCCGCGCTGGGGGCCTCCACGTTGAGCGAGGGGCTGGAGCGGGACTTTTTCAGGCCATCGTCCTCAGTGCCCGCTGCATCGAAGAGCGTGGACTCGAACGCCGCCAGGTCCTCGGAGCCGGCCTTCAGCTTGGCCCGCAGCAGCATGGCATAGGTGCCGTAGCGGGATTTCTGGGGGCAAAGAGGGGCAGGGTGAGGGAAGGGCAAGCAGCGCGCTGCTCGTTCCTTGGGGGAGGCTGATAGCTCCTCCATTCCCTTGTCCTGGGAGCGGCACCGGGCCTGGCCTCGCAGGCCAGCGAGGGGACAGCCCTGCACATTCCCAGCACTGGCCCGCAGCCCCCACATTCCGCAGGTCCCTCCTGCCCCGCAGGGGAGCAGGAGCAGCATGGATGAGAGGAGCTGCAGCAGTGCCAGGGTGGCAGTGCCGGGGTGGCAGTGCCGGGGTGGCAGTGCCGGGGTGGGCAGTGTTCCCTCGGCGCCAGGCACTCAGTGCTGTGCAGGGGGCTGGAGCTGGCACTGCTGTGGGGGCAGGAGCTGCAACTCTGCACCTCCCGCCAGCTGAGGGCCCACGTGGGTTCCCTGTCCCTCACCAGAGACCTTGGGGCCAGCGCCCTGGTGGCAGTGGTGTGTGGGCATGTCGTGCTGGTGGGCACCACGTGTTCTCCAGCTCACCTCAAACTCCAGGTACTCCTCCTTCTGCTTCAGCTCCTCGTACTCCTTGCCCTTCACCTTCTTCTCTGGCAGGGAGGAGCGGTGCTCCACCAGCTCCGCTGACATCGTCTTGAACTTGGTCTCATGGCTCTTCACCTGCTCGTCCTGGGCAAGGGCAAGACCATGTCAGGGCTGCTCCTGTGCAACCCTTCAGACGTAGGCAGGGGTGGGAACAGCAAGCAGGAGGCCCTCCTTAATGCATCAAGCTTCTCAGTTTCTGCTACTGCCTCTTTTTTTTTTTTTAATTAAAGTGACAGGCAAAAATCACAGGCCCTTAGGGGAACTCTTCCCCTGTCTCTTGGTGGGCTTGATGCAGTCTTAAAGCTGAAGGCTTTAATCCCCTYTAAAACCAGGCTATATTTTTAATCCTTTCTGCTCTATGAATAACTGCGCTGGCGCGAGTGAGAGCCTGCTAATCCCCGCTTCCGCTCTCCTTTGAATGTCCTGGCTGCAGCAGGACCCTGCAGCGAACAGGTCCCTCCTGGGGAAGCAGTGGGGAGGGCAGCACGGGGCCTCGCCATTCTGGCTCCATCGGCTGCCCCTGCTTCGGCAGCTCTCTGCACCCTTTCCCCTTCACCCGTGTGTGAACATGGCAGCTGGTCCCTCCGTGGCCTGGACCAGCGTTTCTGCACCAGCTGCCGAGAGCTTCCCCTGCTGCCACAAGAGCYCTCCTGAGCTAGGTGGGTCCTGCCACCTCCAGCTCCCTCCGCTGCCTCTCCCGGAGCGTCGCCGGCCTCTCCCGGCCCCGCGCGCCCAGCCGTGGCCCTGGCTGCTGTCGTGGGGCCGGGGCCTACCTGGGACAGCCTGGTGCACGAGCTGGGCAGCAGCGGGCGGCTGAACTTCTTCTGTGAGCCGATGGCTGCRGGGAAAGGGGGTGCGGAGAACATTGCTGCCACCACATTGATGCGTGTGATCCAGGAGTGCATCTGTTCAGGGTTCCTGCAGGGAAAGGCCAGCACACTAAGAGCAGGGCCCCAACAGCAATACCCTCCCTCTCTGCCTTCCCAGCTTCCTGCCAACCTGGACGCTTCAAAGCCCAAGGGACTTGTCCTGTATGGGGACTCGTGGTTCCCATAGAACTGGTTCTGTTCAACTATGGCACTTGGGACCTCTGTACCCAGTAACTCACCAGCTCAAGCCACGGTGAACCCATGAGAAGGACGAGGACAGYTGCTGGGTGAAGCACAGAGCTTGGTCCCCAGCCTTCCCTCAAGGAAGGGCCAGAACAGGAGGAGCAAGGGGCAGCTCAGCCCCTTCCCACCCACCTGGCCACGCTTTGATGAGCAAGGATCAGCTCRGTGGCTGTCCCAGGGCCTCCGTGGCACAGTCTGCCTTGTCGAGCCCCTCTCCCCAGGCAGCTCTGGGGCTACTCACTGTGCTTGGAAGAGGAAGACCCTCCAGTCAGCTGTCCTGAGGTAGAAGACGTTGGGTCTCTTGTTGTAGTCGGACGCCCGTGTGGCAAGCGAGTGGTGGATGCTAATAGCATTCTTCAGTTCCTCTTCCGCCAGCGCTTTTCCTGGCTTATATTCCTCCTGAAAGTCAGAGAGCATTTCAGGGACAGCTCAGGGATGCACCTCTGGGATGCAGCTCTGCAAAGTCACCTGCCCTGCAGGGAAGCCCTGGCCCCAGCAGCTCTGCCCRCAGGGAGGCTGTGAGCTCAGCCCACCAGGCTGCTGCAGGGCTGGGGCCGCCCTGCCCATGCACTGCCACAGGCTCGCCTAAAGCTGGGCGCTGCTAGAGCAGGAGCTGGGCTGTACAGCACGGGTCCCAGGGCTTGGAAACATCAAGCTAACACAAGGATCATGATTTTTCTCTACTTATATGGCTGGGCAGGGTATCTATATGGGAACAGATTTGCAGCCCCAACTTCCCAGGTCAAAGGCCCATGGTGCTGCCTCTCTCCAGACCCCTGGCAAAGCCTAAACAGGCAGCACCTGGGTTGGCAGCTGCTTTCAGCACCCAAAGCTGAGTACCCTGGAAAAGGGGATGCTCTCAGGTCTCTGGCTCAGGAGATCAGGACGCTGAAACTCCGATTACGATGAGATCTGTGACACCTGCTGGGGAGCCCTCTCTTTGCTCTCCAGCATTCACAGGGACTGCTGTGAGCRACCTCCGACAGAGCTGAGGTTTGGAGGCCTCCTCTGCTGAGACTCCATCACCTGTGGCAGCTCTTAGCCTCCCCRCATGGGGCACCCCGTTGCTCCCTACCTTCTGCAGGTAGAGAATCATCCCCTTCAGGATGGCGTGGAACGGCTTCCAGCCGCGCTTGCCGCGGGGCGCTGCCGGCAGAAACAGAGCAAGCGAGACCTCAGTCCTGGGGCCAGGCGAGCACCTCCCCTCCTCCCCAGCGCTCTGCGCCGCGCACGTCATCCCACCCCGGGGACGGGCTGCGCGCCAGGCCTGGCCCCGCGCACCTGAGCCCGCGGCGGCCGTGCCGGCAGATGGTGCAGCGGGAGCGGGGCTGCTCGCGCCCCGCGGGGCCGGAGCGGCTGCGCTCCGCGCCGAGCTGCCCGCCTCGCTGCCCGCTCCGCGCTCGCGGGCAGCGCTGCCCGCCACGCAGTGTTGGCTTTGGCGGGGCGGCAGCCTCTCATCAGATCCAGGGGCCGTTGAACAGCTGGGGCTTAGCGAGGGTTGTGCAGGGCATGTAGGGAGCGCGCCTGGCAGCGCCCAGCCCACCGCAGCCCATGGGGCACCTCCTGTGCCCCCTTGTCCTGCAGCGAGGCCAGCCTGCCCCAAGAGGCCACAGCACCTCATCTGCCAACCTTCCCAGCACCACGGGCAGAGGACACACAGGTCCTGAGGCTCCCCTGCCCACTGCCGCCAGCCTCCGCCCAGCCCCATCACCAGGGTGGTCAGACAGGGCAGGCCTTGGGCTCCCAAACGCACAGGCTGGAGCGTGCCTGTCTCAACCTGACAAACATGGTGTGGAGGCTGATGTGGAGGCTGTTTTGATGCAGTCGTCAGGTTTGGTGCTGTGCCTCCTGCCCCGCTCCCACTGTGCCAACTTCTGGAGCTCTCCACCATGTCCCAGTCTCCCCCATCGAGTCCCTCCCATGGGGTCTCCCAGCACCTACTCTTCTTGCAGTCAGGATCCGCATGGATCTTGCGCACTAGCAGCCCGTGCTTGTAGGTGGCGATGTTGGGGTCCTGCGAGAAGTCCAGGAAGGGGTTACTGCAGCTGCTGATGCGTTTGATGGACTTGGGATTGGGGTCAGCCAGCTCTGAGAGGGACTTTCGCAGCTCCTCTTCATCTCTGCCAGGTACAGATTTTTGTCAGTGAAGATGGGAAGCACAGGTTAACAATGCAGGGGCCAGCGAATCCCCCTCAAACCGGGCCCCGCGCCGCTGCCGCCTCCCCCCGCCCGCGGCGGGGATGCGGGAGCCCGGAGCTGCTGCCTCCCCCCGCGCTCGTCAGCGCTCGCTGCTAATTAAACCCCTCAGCATCCGCGGGCCGTCTCCATGGCAGCGGCCCCAGCGCGCTGGCTGGCGCTGGCGTTACGCGCCGCGCTGATTAATCCCCCCGCGCGGGCGCCGCGGGGCCCGCTCCGCCACGGCCTCCCGCGCCAGGCGCCGGCCCGCACCGAATCAGCCATGCTGCAGTGCCGAGCAGGCTCCGAGCGCCTGAGGAGGGCAAGGCAGGAGTCCTGCTGCCAYGGCACTGCCAGGAAGAGATACTCACATGGCCCATTGCAGTTTCTCGTTCTTGATGGAGCCGTAGAGCGCCTGCGGAGAGAGCAGAGCGAGGGGTCAGCCCGGCCACGCTGGGCAGGGGGCACGAGGCCGCCAGGGTGCAAGACGGAGGGACCAGTGGTCCGTGAGCGCCAGGCTAGGAGCAAGGCAGGAGAGCCGGCAGCACCGCGCGGGCAGCAGCGGTGCCCCCAGTGCGGGCAGCATTGACACCAGCAGCCCAGCGGAGGGACAGCTCCGTGCTCCCGGCACACCGGCACCAGGAGGGAGGCCCCAGGCACGCTGGAGCAGGGGCCCTTCAGCCAGGGCAGGGGGACGSGGATGAAGGCAGGACAAGAGCAGCAGATGGTCAGGGCTGGTTGCACAGGGGCACTGGCAGAGGGGCAGGCTGTCCGAGGGATGCTGGCTCTGCTCCGGGACCCCAGGCAACAGGGCATGCAACACCATGCACAKCTGTGCCATGCACTGGGTCACGGCACTTGGGGCATCCCGTCTCGTGTGTCTGCCCACGACAGAGGCACGGGGCTGGCAGCACAAAGGTGCCTTTTGCCGAGTGTCCCCAGGCCTCGGAGCGGTGTCGTTGCTGTTGCAGGTGCCCCAGGCTGCCGACAGCACACACCTCATTGCACWGGCCGGCCTGAGGAAGCGCGAGGCCCCGGCACCCACGGACCCAACCAGGCCTCACCAACCAAGGACACCACAGAGCGTGCCGCGGGGCTGCAGCACTGGCCTCGCACAGCAAGCACACAGCTAACAACCCTGACACGGGTCCTGCTCCCACAGAGGGGCTTACTGCCCCAGGCTATCAGGAAATGGGTGCTCCAGAGCGATGCTCCTCCAGCTGAGACAGCCTCCAGGCTCCCTGAGAGCAGGGCCAGGCTTCACCAGAGACTCCAGCAGGGCACTTGCTCCCAAGCCTGGCACCAGGTCTCTGCCCTGGGCAGCTGCCCCTCTGGGTAGTTACAGCCTATTCCTACAAGCCAAATCCTCTCCRGCTTCTCTGCAGTTCCCCAAGCCCCTTACTGCCCCGAATACTTGGCTAGCCATAGTCTGGTGCCCATGTTCCAGTGCATGAAGAAGCTAAGTCCATTTGCAGAGGGACRGTCTAGAGATCAGTCCCCAGCTCTGGACAGAGGGTTTCAGACCAGTGTTCACAGAGGAACTGAGATCAAGRAGCTTAACAGATCTGCACGGCATTATCCTCAGAGGAGGATAATTGAGTTTCGCACAGACTGTTCAGGCAGCTATCAACATCCATCACTTGGCCAGAGACTGCTGGTGAGGTATCTTGCTGAAGGCAGCAGGGACCCACGAAACTCAGCCAGAAGACAAGCCCAAACAGTGTCTGGGAAAGGCAAATCCATCACTCCATGTGGGAGATGTAGCCGAACTAGAACGGAGCAGGGATGAGGCTCATTGTGTATTTCCCGGTCAGCGAAATGCTGACTCAACACTAATTTGTTTTTTGGAAGAGGAAAGGGGATCCTCTCTATCTGCAGATGAAGAACAGGGTTCAGTTGTCTGCAGGGAAGATGTCAGACTCGTGGTGTGAACAGGCTCAGGCCCTGAGAGGAGATGAGTCCTGGGCCCTGGTTTTGCAGCCCCCGAGGCTGAGGTCCGGGATGAAGGGACCCATCGGCAGCAACATTTACAGAGCAGTCGGCAGGGGAAAGAAGGAATGAAAGTCCTGCAGAATATAACCTGGTCATGAAAGAAAAAAAAAACAGCAGGAGAGAGGAACAGGCCTTGGAAAAACAATGTATATGGTAAGGAATCATCACGGGTAACAGAAGGGAGGGGATCTTACTCACTGATGGGGGTTCAGCAAAGCCTACGAACCAACAGAGAGACTAGCAAAAGAGAGGTGGAGAGGCACAGAGAGGTGGAGATTGAAAACAGCGGAACTGCAGAAAAGCTCCTCGGAAAGTGGTGAATAATCAGAGGGGCCCGGGTGCTACCTGGGCCAGGGCAGCTGCTGGCAGGCTGGTACCGGGCCGGTGTGAGCTGGGTCAGCGCACACAGGGGTGGGAGAGCTCCGTGTGCGGCGGGACGGGGCCGCGACGCAGCCAGGCCGGGGCTGGCGCAGAGCGCCGCGGGTCGGGAGCGGCTCCGGAGGGGATGGAGCCCTCCTGGAGCAGAGCCCCGCGCCAGCCTGGTGGGAGGGTGTCTGCTAAAACACACAGTGCAAGAGCTGGTGCCAAAAACGCTCGGGGAGTAATTCTGAATGAAAGCGACGTCTGCAGAGTGCCGGAGAACGGCTCAGCAGARCAAAACACTATAAAAACCTGGGCTCTGGGACTGCCTCCGAACACTTCAAAGGACAAACTCACAGCTTCAAAAGGTTCKAGTGGCCCTGCCACAAGCACCACCAGTGTCACACATTCCTGCTGAGGGTGGAGGCCGGGAAGTGCCCTCACCTCGGAAACAGGTCCCTGGAAGCGGCAGGGCCAGCACTGCTGGTGGCCGGGGCAGCGGGCGGCAAAGGGCAGCGCTGCGGTGGCAGGAGAGGAGCAAGACAAAACTACATCCACGCTTAGACCCTGCCAAGGCTCTGCTTGGCCAAACGCCATCCCCTGCTCACAGCTGTTTGATGCCTTGTAGGAAACTAACGCGCTGGGCTCCGTGCAGCTCCTAGCACTGCACTGGCACTGCAACGGCAAACACTGTCCCTGCTTCGCTGGCCCCACAGCACAGCTGCGTGTCTGACCACCGAGCCCCAGGCCTTGTGGCAGGGCCGGCTGAACAGTCCAGACTCCTGAACCAAGCTCACGAGAGCTGCATCAGTAGGGGCCAGAGTCAACAGCCTCCCAGCTCCACTCGCTCTCTGCGGGTGCTCGCTGAACTCCAGGACTGGCACTTCTTGGCCTCGCTGGATGTGCGAGGCTGCCCATGAGAAGGGCGGGCAGAGGGCCGGCCCCTGGCACCGGCCTTGCTCCCAAGCACAGGGTTGCTATCGGGCCAGGGCTGTGGMCACCCCACTGCAGGGCACCAGTCCCAGCTCTGCCCCAGACAGGAGCAGCACCTGAGAGACCGAGGAGCCCTGTCCCAGCGGGACTGCTCACGGAAGCAATGAGCTCTTCCTTTCGTGCCCTCCCTCCATGTCCTGCTCCAGCAAGTGTTTCCAGGAGGGGCTGCAGCGCTGCAGCCGGCAAGAGCAGCTCTCACTCTGCCCCAGCCTCGGCACTGTCACACGAGCAGGGCCCAGGGGTGCTGCCCAGTGCAGGCTCAGGGCTCCCCAGGGCAGCAGGAGCAGCCAGGGGTCTCACACTCAGCTTTGGCACAGACAGGACTCAACGGAGGGTSGTAAATCCCCTCTGTGCCCGACATACTGGGCTAAGGCAAGAATTTAGGCACTAGGCAGAGACGGTTAACCCTTTCCGAGGATCCTCTGGTGAAGACCACGACTGTTACGGATACATTACGGAGGCAACGAGTCCTTTTTCCAGGGTGCTGGCTCTTGTGCTTAGCAACCYAATATTCAGCTCCCAGAGCAGCAAGCTGCCATGCGTGGGTCAAGATTTCTATTCTTCCTGCCAGCACCAAGAAAAGTCACGGCCATGTGACATTTTGCAATAGAGACTTCTCAGCTACAAAGTACCCTCCCTGCAGMCACTCTCCCTTTGGCTGTGCCTGGCAGCATTTCAGTATGAGAGCTCAGGCGCTGGCTTTCCCCAACTTTTCCTCAGCAAAAAAATAGTCTTTCTCGCCAGAAAAGCCATAAAACCAGCCCTGAGGGACGGTACTGCCACACCAGGGGCCTCCATCAGAGCAGAGACCCTGGCCATACCTGCGTCACGTCCCTTATTCACCAGCAAGCCCCTGCGCCCTGCCTGCTCTGCAGTGTCCCTGCTCGGGATGAGCCGCTCGGCGCCTGGCACGCGCCTGCCCTACGCGCCTGATGTCCCCACTTGCACCGGTGCCGCAGAGCAGGGCGAGAACCCCCCCCTCATCCCCCTCCCCACCGCAAGGGCGTCTCAAACATCAGCCCAGAGGGGAAGTTGGAGCGGGACTTTCCTCCCCTTCGGCTGGGCTGATGTGAGGACAGTGTCCTGCACGTCACCTTCAGCCCTGCTGCAGGTGGCCAAAGCAGGCGGTGGGAAGGGCTGCACACCGTGCCCTGCGCCGGCAGCTTGGCACCGCCCCGAGCCATGCCAGGCTCCCAAAACACCCCTTGTCCTGCCAAGTGCCCACAGGCCCATTGCTGCCCGAGTCCCTGTATCCCCCCGGCGCAGCCCCACGGCACGGGGAGCGACGCTCCCGCRTCTCTCTTCCAGCTGCATGTTTCCATCCGAGTGCGTCACAACTTAATGCTGCCCCCAGACCGTACTGCGCTATGACAGCATCGCAGCCTGTCATCGCTGCCATGTCCCCACCGGGCGCGTTTTGACCGCGGTGGCAGCCCAGCCCCGCGGTCCCCCCACCAGCATCCGCCAGCCTCCTGCCCCACAGCGCRCTGGCTGAGGGCTCTCCCGGCCGCTGCGCGGCAGGGGGCACCCCACTGAAGCAGGGCATGCCCGGAGCCACCCTTCCCGCTTCTCCCCACGTACGCACCCCGGCGCAACTCCTCCAAAACCGGCTCACACCGAGCAACCTCCCGGCGCCAAAACGCTCCCCTTTCCTTCTTGTCCAGAGCGCCACTCGTTCCTCCCGAGCCCGGCGCGGGGGTCGGGGCTGCGGCGCTGCCCTGGCTGGGGTGTCGCAGACCCCCCGCCACCCCCGGGGACCAGACGGGCGCCCGCGGAGCCGCCGCTTGGCGCAGCGCGGCGCCCGCTCCCGGAGCCCCTTTGGAGCGGCGGCGGCGCCGCCACCCG